CACCTGTAACCCTGGGGCTGACTGCTCTTCTGTCCGGGTTCAAGGCTTTTATCCCCTTTCTCCTGCTCTTCAGGAGTCAACTCAATGGCACCTAACAACAAGAACATGATTTCTCCCATGTATCATTCGCTGCATGTATCATTTCTTCCATGAATTGTCTACCCCATGCATGGCTCCTTCCATGGATGTTTTATCCCATGCATCATTTGCTCCATACATTGTTTGCTCCATTTCTGTTCTCTGCCATGTAGTATTTTTTCCACACATCCTTTGCTCCATGTATTGTTTTTTTCTACATATCATTTCTTCCATGTATTGTTTGTTCCATGTATTTTTGCTCCATGTATCTTTTATTTATGTGTTATTTCTTCCATGCATCATTTCTTCTATGAGAGGAGAAAGGCAAGAACAGTGACTGCATGGCCACGGCATGAGACTTGATGTGTGTCAGAGCAGAACTATGCTCTGTAGGGTTTTCAGCGTCTGATTTGTCAGAAGTGTCGCGATCACCAGGCCTTTCTTCCCAGGTGCTTCTGGGTGAAGGCAAACAGTTGGCCTTTCAGTTAGCAGCCATATGGATTACAAGAAATGGTCCCAAAAGTCTGCAGACGCTGGGCTAACAATCCCACCCATGAGCCAGGGCTTCTGGTGGAGGCTGAAAGTTCCTAACTGGTCGGGGCTCACCCAAGAACTGACACTGAAGAGGATATGCGAAGCTGAGAACAGACAACACAGCAGACACCCTGCCTTCTATAGGCGAGCAACAAGAGCAGCACAGAGAGCCCAACAGCCTTACCGGCAGGAAAAACAGCTTCTGTGCACGAAGAATGGCCGCATGATCACTCCGGGCAGGGAAACTTGAGTTTGATATGTTGGCAGTTGGAAGGATAGCCTCTTCTGAATCACTCAGGAAAAACTGAAAAAAAGAGAAAGAAGTGCTATGGATTAGTGCAAATTGGATGCATCAGTAGATGCCGAATGGACTAAGTGCTGTTCTCCTTGAGCACAGTGAGCAGATGAGCCAACGTCTCTGTCAAACACCAGGCGCTGCGTGTGTCTGGAGGCTCTAGGAATGTCTATTTGGAAATGGAAATGATTCTTTTCTGTGGAGCTACACACTTAGTGATGAATTCTAGAACTGTAAGATCGACATTAAATATGATGGATGTCCTTTAAAGGTGCAAAGGCACATGGTGGAGGGCATGGATAGAGTTGAGGACCGAAGCTGACATCAGCCTGGACAGAGACACTGAACCCCCTCTGCCGTGACATCACGCCTGCAGGCAGTGTGTCACGGTACCTTCAGGGTCTCTGTCCAAGCATTAAGTGAGTCAGTGGATTCCTATGTGTATTCATTTTACAACAGGAGGTTAATTTGATGGGCAAATGCAGTAACATCAACGGTGCTATCTATGATTCATGAACTCTTGGCAGCTTGGACCATGAGGGGTTAAAAGGCTTGAGAGGAAGGGCCTTTTCAGCACTGTAGGAAAAGGGTCCAATAAAAACAGAGAGATCAACCTGAGCATGTAGAGAGAACCTACTCTGAGGGGACGTCACCAACATCAGCACCAGAAGGAAGTGTCGAACTGTTAGCAAGGCAGGAAAGATCCACTTGTGTGCTCAGTGTCCCGGCCCTCTGTGTCTTTCCTTCCCTCTGTCTCTGTGTCTCTCAGTCTTTCTCTGTCTCTCCCCTTCTATATATCTTCCTATTTATCCTCTCTTATCCCAAATCTCTCTTTCTGTCTCAACTGCTGCCTATACTTTTCAAGCATCCATTGGTCAATCACTCACTCATCAGTCATGTGGTCAAGCATCAGAGGAGTGTTCCAGAAAGATAAACGAGCAAACTGTGCCTTGGCCACCAGGTTCCCTTGACCAAGAGGCACCCCTCCTGTCCATCAACAGAGTCATATTCCCTGCATAGGACCAACCACATGGTTCAAGGTTAAAAAGTGACACCGCATTATGTACCTTCTAGGCTGCTCCTGGGTGCTCTGATCCACACTCTTTGATGGCATAGGTTCTGGGGACAAATCTATGCTAGTTTACCCAGGTGGGAAGAGAGCATTGATTTCACATATTCTTGGGAATGTTTCTGTCATATTTTAAGAATGATGCTACATAGAGTGGCTCCATCTATTACATCATTTGATAAAATTCAGCTAAATGCTGACTGAAAAAGAGATACAGTAAAGTAAAAGAGATATAGTAAATTGTAGGAGCTCTGGTAGCATAGTGTCTTAGGCACTTGACTGCTAACCAGAAGGCTGGCGGTTCAAACCCACCAGCCACTCCTCGGAAGAAAGGTTGGGCAATCTACTTCCTCAGTGATACCACCTCAGAAACCCAAGGAGGGGTCACTATGAGTCGGGTCCGACTTGATGGCACATAACAACAACAACAACAATGTATAAATTGTAAAAAATTGACAGTAAAGAGTTTCTCAAAAAATAACACACTCACTGATTGAGCTACAAATGTGCTAATATTTTGGAAAAAATATATCAAAACAAAATGAAAGGAGTGGTTGCTTGGAAAATATAGGGTTCCAAAACGTTACAAAGTTCTACAAAAAAATCAGGAAGTGACAAAAGGGCATCTTCAACCTTAACCATAAAGCAGACTTTCTTACGTCACCATCAAGGGAAGAAACCAAATAACCAGGACGAGGTTTACGTTTGCTGTACCATGGGCGCAAGCATGCCCATTGAGCGCTGGGTCTCCCAAGGAGTTACTACATGTGACAGGGTGAATGTAAACCAGACTAGAACACTCCAGTGACCACGCACAGTAATTCTCCCTTAACCCCCTCTGCTACTCTTTCCAGGATTTATTAACTCCCCCTAAAATTTTTTAATGACTATGCAAAAGCATTTGACTACACAGGTTCTAATAACAGGAATTCCAGAATACTTAATTATGCTCATGAAGAACCTGTACATAGACCAACAGGATTTCATTCAATATTCGAGGATACCATGTGGTTTAAAATCAGGAAAGGTGTGCTTCAGAGTTGTATCATTTCACCATACTTATTTGATCTGTATGCTGAGCAAATAATCTGAGAAGCTGGACTACATGAAGAAGAACGTGGCATCAGGACTAAAAGAAGACTCATTAACAACCTGAGATAAGTGGATGACACAACTTTGCTTGCTGAAAGTGAACAACACCTGAAGCACTTACTGATGATCAAACACTACAGCCTTCGGTATGGATTACACCTCAACAGAAAGGAAAAAATCCCCATGAATGGACCAATAGCGACACCATGATAAACAGACAAAAGTTTGAGTTGTTAGAGATTTCATTTTACTTGGATCCACAATCAATACCCATGGAAGCAACAGTCAAAAAATCAAATGATGTATTGCACTGGGCAAATCTGCTGCAGAAGACCTCTTTAAAGTGATGAAGACCACAGATGTCACTTTGAAGACTAGGTGCACCTAACCCAAGCTGGGGTCTCTTCAAGCACTTCCTATGCATGTGAAAGCTGGACAATGAATAAGGAGCACTGAAGAAGAGTTGATGTTTTGAATTATGGTGTTGGCAAAGAATACTGAATATACCGTGAACTGCCAGAAGAATGCACACCTCTGTCTTGGATGAAGCACAGTCAGGATGCTCCTTGGCAGTGAGGATGTAGGGACTCCACTGCTCGTACTTTGGTCATGTCAGAAGGGACCATTTCCTGGAGAAGGCTATGATGCTTGGTAAAGTGGAGGGTCAGTGAGAAAGGGGAAGAGTTGTTGAGAGCAAGACGGACTGACACAGTGGCTGCAAAGTGGGCTGGAGCACAGCAAGGATTGTGCGGCTGGCTCAGGACCGGGCAGCGCCTCCTTCTGTTGTGCGTGGGGTCACTATGAGTCAGAGCTGAATTGATGGCACCTGACAACGACAACTACCTCATCAACATAATAAAAGAAAACTCCTATTTCTAAACAGGGTCATATTTAGCGGTCCAGGTGCTAGGATTTGAGGTGGGGGTGATACATTCAATCCACAACAGCCTCTGTAGAGAAGCCCCTCTTATCCCTCATGTGTGTCCCTACACTAGTGTCACCTCTCCGGTGATGGCTTCAGGACCATAGCACACTCTCCTGAGGTCTTTGCACAGGAACACCCCTGCCCTCAGGTCCGACCCCTCAGGGGCACGCAGTGCCTGGGTGATAGGAGTCCACTAGGTGGAGACTGTATGTTACAGAAGAGCGAGAGGAGGCACTGATGGAAGGTGGAGTGTCCCTGGTGAACCTGAGGCACCAGGACAGTTCCATGCAGGACCATGTGGCCAAGGGCCAGCGAGTGCCCACTAGGACGCTGGCCTGCGTGGCCTGGCTGTGAGCCTGGGACCACCAGTCCTTAGTGCCTGCAGGGGAAGGCTGAGCAGCCTCCTCCGTGAGTTGAGCAGTGAGCTGGAGGGGCTGGAGGGGCTGGAGGGGCTGGAGGGGCTGGCACCACTAGTTGGCCCATCTGCCCAGGGAGGCTGACATTCAGCCCTGCCCTTCTCTCCTTCCTCTGGCAGCCTCTGAGAGGGAGGGGCGTGTTGTCAGTTGTCGGGAAGGCCACCACTGAGGAGGCTGGGTTCCTGCGTTGCTGATGGGTGAGAATGGCTGGAAGGCCTTGCACCCAGCCCTGGCAGCATGGGAGAGGAAGGGCAAGAGGAGGCCTCTCTGGCACCCCTTCCCAGGAGACCCTCAGGTGGGATTCTCGGCAGGGTGGCTGGAGGCAGGGCTGTGACCCGCAGTGGTTTTCCCTTGCATGGCCCCCCTGAGTGTCAGGGCAGAACTGGACCCTGTGCTGTGACCTTGAGGAAGGCCCGGCACAGACCCCAGGGCCTCATCCACCCCCAAGTCTTGCTTTTTACGGCGCCTTCATGCAACACATCTGCTCTTGGCCCAGATTCCAAACGCTTTCCCTCCTCCTCATCTTCTGTCCGTGTCTGTCCTCACCTCCCTCCCTCCAGGGGACATGGTGGGCTCTGGACCACCTTCAGGGCTTAGTCGGGCAGCCCTGTGTGCCTGGCTCCCCCGTCCTTGGACATGTTCTGTGGTGGGACTGCTCATGCTTTTGGATGAGTTTGTAGCTGTCAGTTTCCTGCTCTCTGCTCTAAGCTCTGAAAGGTGAGAGCTGACTAGACGTCCGAGCCTCCAGCAATGGGCCAGGCACATGTTAATATTCAATAAAGGAGTTTTTGCTAAATAAATACCATCTACTTTCTAGAAACTACACCATTGTTATTTGATACATATGGGGTATATCTCATCAACCTGATTTTATGCTTCTTGTCGACAAGGATGTAGGTGCTTCAGTAGAATGACTGCATACACCCCCCCCACACACACACACACAATATAATGTCATAATAGTCTGCATTTCCAACAACTGGCCGAGTGTCCCACACAGGAAGCATCAAAACACCTTCCTGCTGCTGCTGCGGAAATACTCATCCCCATGTCTCAGATTGTTGGCTGAAAGCAGAGAATACCAGAAAGATACTGACTTGTGTTTTACTGACTATGCAAAGGCTTTCAATTGTGTGGATCATAACAAATCGTGGGTAACACTAAGAAGAATGGGAATTCCAGAATATTAAATTGTGCTTACGAGGAACCTGTACAGAGACCAAGATGCTGTCATTTGAACAGAACAAGGGGACACTGCATGGTTTAAAATCAAGAAGGGAATGCATCAGGGTTGTATCCTTTCACCACACTTATTCAATCTGTATGCTGAGCAAATGAACTAAGAAGGTGGACTACATGAAGAAAAACTTGGCATCAGGATTGGAGGAAGAATCATTAACAACCTGTGATACACAGATGACACACATCGCTTGCTAGAAGTAAGGATGACTTGAAGCACTTACTGATGAAGATTAAAGACTACAGTCTGCAGTAGGGATTACATATC